TCTCCTTTATCATAATCGAGGACAGATATCGTCCTCCAATGAACGGGATAGATCATGTGACATGAGACCTTCAAAAGAATGAAGAAGATGTACTCATTCCTCTATGTTAATAGATACGCGGCATCTATATCTCACCTTCGGTACAGTGTCGCGCGAGACAGGATCTGTCTTCTAGGGAGGGGCCAGCGGAAAGCGACTTCTGACCTCCCTTAGATGTAAACGCGGAAAGGAGCTTCCTCATATGCAGTGGCCAGCAGGGGGCGACTTTTCTGCTCCCATAGACGTCTATGAGGAAATGACTCTCCTTCTCTGTAGTGACCAGCAGGGGGCGACTCCTCTGCTCCCATAGACGTCTATGAGGAAATGACTCTACTTCTCTGCAGTGACCAGCAGGGGGCGACTCCTCTGCTCCCATAGACGTCTATGAGGAAATGACTCTACTTCTCTGTAGTGACCAGCAGGGGGCGACTCCTCTGCTCCCATAGACGTCTATGAGGAAATGACTCTACTTCTCTGTAGTGACCAGCAGGGGGCGACTCCTCTGCTCCCATAGACGTCTATGAGGAAATGACTCTACTTCTCTGTAGTGACCAGCAGGGGGCGATTCCTCTGCTCCCATAGACGTCTATGAGGAAATGACTCTACTTCTCTGTAGTGACCAGCAGGGGGCGACTCCTCTGCTCCCATAGACGTCTATGAGGAAATGACTCTACTTCTCTGTAGTGACCAGCAGGGGGCGACTCCTCTGCTCCCATAGACGTCTATGAGGAAATGACTCTACTTCTCTGTAGTGACCAGCAGGGGGCGACTCCTCTGCTCCCATAGACGTCTATGAGGAAATGACTCTACTTCTCTGTAGTGACCAGCAGGGGGCGACTCCTCTGCTCCCATAGACGTCTATGAGGAAATGACTCTACTTCTCTGTAGTGACCAGCAGGGGGCGACTCCTCTGCTCCCATAGACGTCTATGAGGAAATGACTCTACTTCTCTGCAGTGACCAGCAGGGGGCGACTCCTCTGCTCCCATAGACGTCTATGAGGAAATGACTACTTCTCTCTTGATTTATTCCTTCAGTAAACATTGTAAACATCAGTTTATGGTCTCAGTCTCTAGTTTAAGTCGTCTTCATACAGCATGATGTTCATTTAGTGAATTATGCTCCATTTAGAGTCAAACAGACCATAAAGCAGGGGACGCTTTAGGCTACTCGCTGATTGACAGGTCTAGAGGGGCGTATTCTGCGTCTTTATGTCTTCCTCAGTCCTAATATGGTCACTTCCTGTTAACAAGTTGCAAAAAAACAAGATGGCGACCAAAACTCCAAACTCTCATATTTAAAACACCCACAAACCAATGAGAGACGTATGTATTCTCATACAGAGAGCGGCAGCGACGTGCAGCTGCCTCCAGAGTCCGGTTTGTCCGTCCTGAGCTACCGTAGAAACATGGCTGTAGTTTCAAGTCTTCTTCAACACAGATGATGTTCATTTAGTAGAGTCAGTCCAAACGTGGTGACTTCCTGTTCACTGGCTCCTAAAAACCCTTCATGCCCCCTAAACCATTTTAGAGACTCTGGCAGGATCCTGCTCGTTTCCCAGGATGCTCCTCTGCTCCCAGTGAAGTGCAGATGACGAGGAGCCATCTTCAGCCCCTTGAAGAAGAAGCAAGTGAAAGCCCCGGAGAAAAGGTGCGACCTACCTGCTTGGAGAAGGAGTCGTCCAAGTCCCCCACGTCGTCCGACCCCCGCTGACCTGCTGACCCTTGACCCTGCGGCTGCCGCTCGTCGAACGAGTACTGGACCACCGAAGAGCAGAAACATTTGTACAGTTGTCTTGTGTGTTCACACGGTGTGTGAGTGTGAGTGTGTGTGTGTGTGTGTGTACCTGCATCCTCATGTTGGACAGGATGAAACGGCGCGTCATCCGGCTCTCCGAGGCCGAGCTGCGAAGCCGCTCAAAGTTCTTGTTCATGCGGTACTGCCTGAAGGCCGTCTGAATCGTCCGCGCTGCCCGCCGGGACACAAACTGGCCGCCGTACTTCCTCTCCAGCATCTCCACCTGCGCCGCGGGGCGGAGGGCGACATTACGCACAGACGTACAGTACCAGCTTGGGACGCACAAGTCAAGAAGGCGCGGTACTGTCTATTTCGTATATACGTCTAGTGGACGAGCTCCCGCCGTACCTTCTTGTCCTGGAGGTCCGTGGAGAGCTCATAGCTGTCGGATAGGGCCTTGCAGCGTTTGCTCTCCTCCTCCTCCTGCTTGCGGAGCGCCAGGCTGGCCGGCTGGTGTCGGCTGCGCTGAGCCCAGGCGAGGCTCGCCGGGCTGGGGGGCGAGACGGGGGAGTTGCCCTGCAGCGAGGGGCGAGGGGGGGGGGGGGGGGGGTGTTAAGTGATTTATTTACATCAAAACAGGAAAAAAAACACAACACAACCGAGCGAATCCATGGAGGCGCTTCCTGTGTGAGTCCAGGCGTCTCACCTGTGTGTGTGTGTGGGAG